TGAGAGTGGCATGTGTGGGGAAGCCAATGGGATGGGCCGCCCATTGGCTTGCTGGAGCCACCCTGTGCCTCCTGAATGGTCACACAGGGGAGCTTCCTCAGCACTTTGGCAGCCAAGATGGGAGCCAAGTGCAATACTGCTGGAGCCTCCMTTGTCCAAATATCCAACTGCTGGCAACAGGTGAGTTCACCTGGGACCTTTGGAGGGGGAAGGAGACAAAGAGGGAGTTTTACAATTCTGTGCACAAATTCTGTGATAATTTTCATGGTGTTTTTGAGCCTGTGTGTTGGCATGGCTCTCAGGGACTGGATAAGATTGATGTCTCAAAACGTTTTTGAATACTTGGGATGTCTCCATGTGTGTGTGTGTATGTCTGTGTGGTGTGAGGTGGGGCAAGTCAGGCCTTGGGTAGGTGAGGCAGTGCCCCGCTCCCCAAGGCATAGCCTCCAGCTCCAGACCCTGAATCCCAGGCTGGCAGACATGTCAATCAATCACACAACAGAGGCGGTGCTAACCCAGSTCCTGTATTGCCAAGTGACTTGAAGTCCCACCTGGGGGCAGGGTCTGTGGAGGCTCTGGAGCTTAAAAGCTCTGTGGAGAGAAGCACGTGAACCTTGACCCCATCAGCTTCTTGGAGTTTCTATGCAAGCCACACTGGAACCCAAGAGTTTGCAGCTCTATGTGTTTTTTTTTTCTGTATCTTTTCTGACTTTCTCTCCTTCTTCTAATTCCCCTTTTTTGTACCTTTTGGGTAAGGTAACAATGAACAGGTTAAAGGTTTCTAGATAAAAAGTGCTGTGGTGTTTTTTGTTGAATTGGATGTTGTCTTGAATCCTTTGCCAAAAATCCTTAATTTTCTATACTTCACCAGTAAATTTTTATGTAATGTAGACCTCTTGAGAATATGAGTTTGGCATTTTTCCCATGTTCTGAGACAGAGTAAGGAACCTCAGTTTATCCCCTAACATTTAAATGTTCTAGGGTGTTACAGTGGCATTAGATACAAATTTGGTGAAATAATGGATAAAGTGTGGGGAATGGATGCACAGCATGGTTAGCGTAAGGTGGCCACAGAGGAGTTGTGGAGGCCCCAGTAAGGTGCAAGACGGAGGGACTTAAGTCTCTGCTAACACTCACTACTCTTGAGAAGAGAGCTTGAAGACTTCTCGAGATTGGAAGAGGGAGAGAGAGCCTGGTGTCCCTCGTAGCACACAAGAGGTGCGAGAGTCCCTGGACACACACAAAAGGGGGTTGAAATCCCTTCTTGGAGGCAAAAAGRGGTTTCAGATCCCTTGTGGTGYTTGACATGATGGGAAATATCCGTGTTGTAGTTGAAAGGATTCTGATGGCTGAGGTTATGCAAAACTGGGAGAAACTGTGATGGGCAGCAGAATTTTGCCAAGATGGAACAATAAKGTTGTRCCAGGGCTATTGGGSRGCTCTAAGYSGGTCTGCTTGCTGGCCAGGATCAGGRCCATCCCCAGCCTTGAGTGACACCCTTGCAGTCAGTGTCTGTGTTGAGCAGGCAGCCCCCGACTTCAGGAAGTGTTTGGAGGAGCTTATGCTGGGGTGGCAGGGACCAGGAGACATATGGGGTGGTTGTTGTCAGCACAGATTAACACAGAGGGAAGAGTGCCACCCACACTGAGA